ACAGTGGAGTTGTGTCATTTCAGGGAATTTGAACACACAGTTAATGCCAAACACCCCATTCCTCTCAGTTCTACCTACAGGGTCCTAGCGTGACTTCACCATTTACTGCACTAAGCTGTATCTCCACAAACAGAGAGGGCGAGCACACACCGTGCCCTGTACTGGTGTTTAGTGAACATACAGGCAGGGCTTGAGTGAGTCACTGGTCACTGCAGAGCAGGCTTGCAAATTGAAGATTAATTCAGTACAGGAAAAAATCCCCTGTGCTTTACATGCACGGCTGCACAGACACAGACTGGGAGGGGTAAAGAAAGATGTGGTACCAGCTCTGCCCCATACAGCTAACCAGAAGTTGGGGATGGTGCAGGGGGAGAGCAAAGTGCAACCAGCAAAGAGCACCCTGCTCCCTTCCCAGTTTGGTGCCCATCAGGGCCAGCCCTGGATCAGCAGGTGGGACCCTCACCTGGCTGCTATGCTCAGAAAAGCTGGGAAGACCCAGGTAAGGCTTGACCTGTGCCACTTACGAACACTATTACCAGTATCTCTCCTTCACAGAGAACCTTTTTTACCAATGCTGGTCCTCTAACTTGCCATACAATCCTGCCTGATTTCAGCAAGCTCTGGCAGAAGTCCTGCTCTCAAACCTCCACGCGCTGTCTTTTGCTTGACCTTATCAACAACTCAATTCCCCAAGCTCAAGAGTGAGACACTTAAAAATTTTACTCACCAGGAAAGTCTCACCAGAGGAAAAGCACAGGGACTGCTACGTTTCACAGAGGCTTTTATTGTCTCATTAAGCTCTCCTTAACGAGAACTTCCTCACCTGCTGCAGTTTCCCTCCCATTCATTTGCACACACCATGCACAGCTGCTACTTTCAAGCGTAGCTGCCACTCCTTCCTCCCTCTTTCCCCTTCACTATTCTGACCCCAGTTCCTATTTCCATGCTCTCATCCAGGTACCAAGGACAAAACGCCTCCTCCTCTTGAGCTACCACTGGCCATGTTCTCCTTGGCTGGTTTCCTCCCTGATATCTCTGCAGCTCCGGAGTCACCTGCTCAAAGTACTCTCTCCAAAGCAAGGCAGCGACAGCTCCTGTTGAGATCCCTGACTTTCCTTCTTTGCTAAAACAGTGCAGAACTGCTGGATTTAGCAATAATCCACAGCTGTCAAGGACCTCCTCATGCTGCAGTACACCCCTGGCTTCACCTCCTTGAGATTCCTGATACATCTTCCTCTCAGATCCTGTCTTCATGACAGAAGCAGCAGTGTCACAAGACCCAGTTACACCGTGGTTGTCCCTCGGCATGATTAAAGCACCACAGTTACTTTCTCTTGCTTAAAGACGTTAGAACATCTTACCATCCTGCTACACCCTCGTCTGACCAAACCTGGAATGCTGATCCAGTGCCACTTAGGCCTGTGATTGAATCAGGAGAAGGAAAAATCACCTGCCAACTCTTTCTGAGCTCTTCACCAAGATATTTTGGTGATTCTCTATTTACCTTGCCCAACACCAAAGCATTAATGACCTCACCAGACTGCTCACCCTGGTCTCCTAATTCACACCAAACACTCTGACTACCAAAACCTGCTTATTCTCTCTCTCCCCTGTGCACAGCCTGGACCCCACAGGCTCCGATGGCTCTGGCTGGACCCCACAGGCCCCAGTGGCCCTGCCCACCCCAGCCTGGTGTTTTTAGGAGCTGAGCTGTCGGATCGGCCCCTCTGCCGGACCAATGAGGCCTCACACCAGCGAGGCAGCGGGTTCAGGACCTTTCTCAATGACTGCAAATACCGAGGGGTTCAGGCTGTTCCACCCATCCCATCGCATCCAGAAGAGCCTTGAGAGCGAAGCTGCGTCAGAGCGGGGCACAGCTGCCAAAAGAGTCGGTCAACCTCTCTGGATTGTTTGCGTACCTTTGGAATAAAAAAAAAAAGAAATCTCTTTTTTTTCTTCATTCAAGCTTTTTTAGATAAGCACATGACAAACACACGTACCAGAGAGAATGACCACCCTGCCTTCCAGTGAGGAATGAGGGGCTGTCACAGTGATCACCGTGATAACGAGAGGGTCTGAACACAAGGGAACGCGATACAATGGGAGATTTATCTTGGAAGCGGTCCCTTGGCAGCCTGACGCCGTACTGATGTCAGCACCATTTCCCATTGCACACTGGCTGGGGATCAGAGCTGGGATGACAGACCCATCCCTATCTCAAACACGTCCTGGAACACGGCAATGGCTGTGTTACAGGATAAAACATCTGCTTCCTCTTTTTGGCAAATGGTCTCAGGAATGGCTGGGTGAAAGCTTCCTCATCACACAGGGAGATTTTCAGCTTTGTTAAAACACGCTGTTTTGCTTAGGTGTAATAAAGTGGTGCTTGGAGTGAGAGCAAGTTTTGGGAGGGATATTGTAAGAGAGAGAGACCAGCTTGGTCTCGGGTCTGGAGCCGGATGGAGTTGGCACACTGGGTTTGACTGGGATGCTGGGGAGGAAATGGTGCTCTGTAGGTTGGTTACCTATTGGTATTCCAGTGGTAATTCCTTAAATCTCTGCTTCCTATAAATCGTGTTGTCCCATGGGAACCCTGTACCCACCTTGGATGTCCAAATGACCCAGAAAATTGCTTTCCTTCCTACCACGAGCCAGGTCGATACTTCAAGTCTTGACCTTCAAGGGTGCGGGGGTGAGGAGAGGCACAACAGGAGTCCGAGGCCTTGGTCCAGTGCTCAGAGACTCCTGTCACAAGGAATTACGTGGGCTCTGCAAACAGATAAGGAAAACCAGAAAGAGCAAACGCTGCCCTGCACAACCTTGACACGGCAATCGATGCTGGAGTTTACCAGCAGGAGCAAGTAAATAGCCCCGGAGTTGCATGCTGCATAGCAAACATTGCAGTTTTATCTGGATGACAGGCAGCAATTTGTGGCAAAGGGTAAATCTCTCTGTTCGCTCATGCTTGACATATGGATGGTCTCCTTACGTTCCCTGTTCTCAGCGGGTTTACGCATGAATTTAAGGTTAAATACATGCATGCCTTTAGGATCACGACCTTCATTTAATATTGCGTGGCCCAGCAGACCCGTAATTAATCTCTCACACGTTCAAGTGACAGCTCTCGCTCGGTAATGTCATCCATGCAGAATAGAGGGACATGTAAATTCCTATGTTTGGGCTGGGGCTCAGATTTTCCAGCCATCAGAGCAGCGAGGCTTCAACGCTTCTGGCAGGAAGAGTGGGATAAGTGGTAGCCTGGGCCACTTTACAGGCAGACTGTGCAGACCAGGAGGTGTGGTACAGTCACCTCATTCAGCGGCCGAGGATGGGCTGGGAATGGCAGCACTTCCACCCTGCCAATCCCTTTTACATCGCCAACAATTCCTACTTCTGGAAATGAAGGAGTTTCAGAGTCTGATCAAGCCTGGGAAGAAAACCCCCACCATCTTCACCATGAGCAGTTGACAAATACGAAACTGGATCAGCCCCAGCTCAGCCACACTTGCTCTTCTTTCTTCCCCAGACCACTGGTTTTCAAATGTCCCAAAAGGTCTGAAACCCAAGGATAAGCCAGAACTGCACGCTGGCAATCAGGTCCACATGGACAGAGTGCCCTGTGCACCCAGGTCGAGCCCTGTCTACTGCAGTAGTGAGAGTTGCTGCTAATGCCAGCGGTTCCCAAATTCTGGGTATTGAATCTTTTTATGTAGTTGTTCTATCACCAAAGATGAGCGTGCTCAGTCGGGTTGGCTCAACAAGTGTTTTATCAGGCAACACAACAGGCTGGATACCTTTTACGTAAGTTTAATGGGGTTTAATATTCATCCACCAACAGCACACAATGTCAGATCTCCGCTATTTAAGGGCCAGAAGCATCTCAAACACAACCACAGACAAGCATTGCTCAGAAATAGTTACACTGTACATCAAACCTGAGTAACTGGAGCACAACCAGTAATTTGTCCTGCCACACATCTGGAGAGAGAAAAGATGAGTGTCTTACTAGTTATTCCAGATCCCAAAAAAAACCCCATATAGCCATTTCATTTAGCCCTGTTTCTTTAAAAGATGCACATGCAAGAGTGCTCTGGATGGATCCCACTTTATATTCTGGCTCCTTTTTTAAAATTATTTTCTCCTTAAGCTTTAGCAGCCTGTGCATCAGCCTGGAATGATGCATGGGAAAGGATTTCTCTATTTTTTTTTACTGATTTAATTACAAGGGACTTCTGGAATAACTCTCCTCTCCCTCCTTTTCTCCTCTGGACAGCCAAAATGCTGGTGCAGCCATCCACCTCCAGCACAGCCGAAGTCCATCGATGCAGCTGCACCCTATTTTGCCCCCTGGTGGAACCCCAGCAGAGATGAGCTACCAGGAAAAGCTGGTAAGGACAGGGAAGAAAAGCTCCCCTTGGCTCACCATGTGTAAATGCACTGCAGGCAGCTGAACCCAATGGAGATACAAGCAGGATTTGTCCCCAAATGCCTCCCCTGGACACGTACAAGGTGATCCTGGGCTGAGTGGCAGTGTGGAGAGCACCCAAGAGCTCTCTCCTTGGGAGCCCCAGCAGGAGAGGGAAGTAAAGGGAGCTCTGTCAGCAGGAGTCACAAACCCAGCACATTTTATAAAGGGTTCCCTGTTAAAAATCGGAAGTTGCAACAGATGAGCAGCGCTGAGGCAATGACATCTGACGACTGGCGACCACGGCCAGCGAGGGGAACATTTTGCCACTCATCCATAGAGGATGGAAAAGGCACAAGGAAATAGGGCAGCTAAGGAAGTGGCACAAGAAGCAAAATGTCCTTTGACTTTCCCACCCTGCTGCAGCTCCAGATGGTTGTTTCATTTCCATCCTGTGTTTGAGACACCTCCAAAACATCACATCGCACATTTTCGGCGTGCACGGCCCTTTGCAGCCCCCCAGTCCTGTGATTATTGCTCTGAAACGAGGGGAAATTGCAGAGAAAAGAGCTGCCCCCTCCACACCAGCACCTGCTCAGGCCCTGGGGACCTCCGCTTCCGAAGCAGACCTGGACTTTCGCCTGCTGGTCAGGCTGCCCAGCACCGACTCCTCGCTGAAGGCCCCTTCGAAGGTTGACAGGATGGACTGGCGAAACTTCTCCTTGAAATCCGGCCCCGCAAAGACGTACAGGATGGGGTTGATGCAGCTGTTGAAGAAAGCAAGGCTGGAAACCAAGGGGATCCCTATGTAAAGGGCCATTTTCATCTCGTGACTGGAAGAGTTTTTGGATATTTCCAGCAAGGAGAAGACGTGATAGGGGAAATAACAGAGGAAAAACGAGACGGTGACGGCAATGATGATTCTGTACGGCTTCGCAGAGTTGGCTAACTGCCGCCTTTTCAGCTTGACAGCGACGATGCTGTAGCAGATGAGAATGACCGTGAAAGGGATGAGGAACCCGCATAAAAATCGCGTTACGATCATCACTTTATGCCGCATCCTCCACAGCCTCCGCGTCGCCTCGGACGTGTAGTCGTCGGACAGCGCAAAATTATTATAGCAGCTGGTGATGTTCCTGGAGCTGACCACGGTGTCCCGAAAAACGAGGTACGGGGAGCTGAGGAGCAGAGCCACGACCCACGTCCCCAGCGCGATTCTGGCCGCCAGCTCCGGACTCCTGCGGTTGTGGGACCAGACGGGAAAGGCCACAGAAACGCAGCGGTCCATGCTGATGACCGTCAGGAGGAAGACGCTGGCAAACATGTTGAGGAAGGCGATGGTGCTGTTCAGCTTGCACAGGAGCTTCCCAAACGGCCAGTGGAAGCCCAGGGCGGTATAGGCGATGCTGAGGGGCAGGAAAAAGGTGAAGATGAAGTCGGCAATGGCCAGGTTGAGGAACCAGACGGAGTTCACCGTCTTCTTCATCTTGAAGCCTGCAATCCAGATGACGAGGCCGTTTCCTGTCACCCCCAGCAAACAGGCGATGCTGTACACCACCATGGAGAGGACGTGCATGCTCTTCTGGAGGCCCGAGTAGTCTTGGGCAGTGGCATTCTCTGACTGCACGGTGGGGGAACCGGCAGGGAAGGGTGAAGGGGAAGAAGAGACGCTCTCCATCACCAGCAAACTGGAGTCCTGAAATCGTAACAGCCCACACCACTGTTATCTGCTGCTCCCACGGCTCAGGAGAGGTGACAATCTTTGCTAGCAACCCTGCACAAAATGTATAAGCAATACCAGATTACATGTCTTAATATATAATTAACATAAAGTCCCTCTCTATAGCATCTGCATCTGTCTGTCACAGAAACCACCGCAGCCAGAAAAACTCCCACAGGTTTTGATGTCAGAACACCTCCACCAATGCCTACAGCAGCAATACAACATGGGGCAGCAGCAGTGCCACAGAAACCCAGATCCCACGGCCACGACGAGTCCTCTTTGGGTGACCCACCACAAATTAAGATGGCAAAACCCATCTAGACTGGTAACGATGATGTTCAGAGACTCTTCCTTCAACAAACACCTTTAGGGGAGGTGCACTCCCAGAGCAGAACGGTACCCAAGCCGTGTCCTGGTGTCACCACCAGCCCTTTACCACAGGCCACCCTCAAGGTGTGCCCACCCTCACCCCTCTGACTCGCCCACCACCCCAGGTCCCAGCAGGACTCACCGCTGCGCTCCTTCACTGCCCTGCCCGCAGGGGAGGTCTCTCCTCCTGTCTGACTCCCCCGTGCGATGCTGCTCCTCTCCGGTGAGTGACTCACGCTGCCTCGTTCCATTTTCCCATGGCTTGGCATCACGAGAGGTTTAGTAGCATCCCTTATTCCCTCATCTTCTTCCTCAATTTCTGGCGTGTTGATTTAACCCCTGAATCCCTGGCGCTCACAGGCACCCTCGGGACGGTTGGCCCAGCCCATCCACTCACTCGGATTGGTAACACAAAGGAAACGTGGTCGCTCATCCACCTGAGGCAGCTTCCTTCACCCCAAGCACCCTGGGACAGCCCTCCCATGGCGGGGGGACACCAGGCAGGCTCTGCTCCCCATGGCAGTGGTGACACACCAGTGCTGCCCACCCATGAGCCATGGCTGGGGTGGGCTCGGGGGTGGCTGGAAGCGCTCCCTGCCAGGTGCAGGGTGGCG